TATGACACCGAACAACAAAGAATTATTGACCGAATTAGATGCATCACTTTTCGTGAGGCTCGTGATGCTGGTGCATCATTTATAAATAGAGAATGGATTCTGAAAAAATTCACTGCACGACCCGATTTGTTACCGAATAGTGGGAAAAATCGTATGATCAATGCTACGCTGATTATTGAAATACTGGTCCGAAATTCAAATTATCTGCAGCAAGCCAAAACATCATTCTTCAATCAAGTAACCGACAAAGAAAGAGTTGTTCAATTGTGGCAAAGGAAATTGCAGAAAAACAAAAGGAATATGTCACTCCAAGGACAATAAATAATTACCGTCGGAGAGAAGGATTAAAGCCGTTTCATGTCATTCCAAAACCATTGAAAACAGAAACTCATATATCAGATCGGTTGTGGTTGTGCGACTGGTTAAAAGATTGGACCGAAGAAGATTTTCTTCATCTTGCACCATGTGATGAATTTTATGTGTGGATTGTTCGTAGACCAAATTACCAAAATGATCGAAGTTGGGCCAAAAGTGTTGAAGACATTGAAGAAGATGAAAGATATCGGGAAATGGTAAAAAATCAAGCGTGTATCGGGATTTTTGTTATGTTTACTTACAAAAGGTTACTATGGGTTATCAAAGATAAAGGAGAATCTTGGACAGGTCAATACTTTCGTGACACGATTTTGACCGAAAATGTGATTCCCTTCTTAGAAAATGAAGAAAATATTATTGATGTTGATGAAGTTACATTTGTTCCTGATAAAGCACCATGCATGCGCGCAAATATGACTCAGCATTTGCTTTATGATAACGCCATTCAGTTTTGGGGTAACGATATCTGGCCCGGAAATTCACCTGATCTCAATGTGGCAGAACATATTGGAACAATTATCAAAGACGAAGTTGAAAAAAAAATGTTGTTAGAAACTGAACATAATCGATATCTTGAAAACACGCTCAAGTTGCACCTTTCGGACGTTTTGACAAATATGGAAACAGATACCGAGTTATTTGAAACCCTTTTATGTTCATATCCATCTCGGCTTCGAGCAGTAAAAAATGCTAACGGTCGTCATACTAATTATTGATTGTATTCATCAAAAGAAGAAAAAATAAAGGTTATTGTATCACATTAACTCAAACTTCCTTTCCTGAAATTTTTTTTCACACTTGACATACGTAAAATGTGATATTTTTGCCAAATTCAATACACGGAAGTTTTCATAACCCTTACTATTTAGTACCAAAATACTTCACTTTTCACGGGCTTTCATTTGATATAAAATTTATTAGTAACACTATTTGAAATAATGGTGGTACTCCCCCTCTCCCCCCTGGAATAATATTATTTCCAACCTAGTACAGTCGCGGCCACACACCTGACATCCTGCAGTTAAGTCGTGGATGCTGCTTTAGTATTTCTCTGAACTGGAAAAAAGAACTTGAAGCGAAAAAGTCTTTTGTAATCGAATGTGAGATATTGAAAAACTTTTGTATGACAACAGATTGTTCTTCTGTCTTCAATACTTGGGTGTGGGTGTGGATGTGACTTGACAGAAGAACTACACCCACGCCCCACGCCCCACATCCCACAGCCAAACTCACAGCCACAGCCACAGCCACAGCCACAGCCACAGCCACAGCCACACCCACACCCTTAATATCCTTCTATGAAAGGCGTGGAACTGTATATTCTTCAGTTGATTGAATCAAAGAGTACCACAAGCAAAAACACTTCATGTTTTACAGACGATTTATAAGAGACTGTTGAAAGAGCTGGCACGAACTTTTCGTTTCTTCAAGAAAATGTAATTCTTTCCAAAATCGAACGATTTAGGGCATAACGCAAATCAAGCGTCTTAATTTATTCAAAGGCGACGCTGCACCACTTGAAAAGATTGAATTTCACATGAAGTGGATAAAAAAATTATGTATCCGCTGAAGTATCCACACGAGCATATTCTTCAACAACGAATCAATACCTTTTCTTCGACATAGTGCAGCATCGTCTTGGTGTGGGTGCGGGTTTGGGTATGAGTATGGGTATTGATGTGTGTGTGTGGCTCGAGGGTGATCCGGATATTCACTCTCTATTAGACGGAGACATTGAGCTAGACCTAAAATAACAGACCCACCTCCATTTCACACCCATTGATCTACTATTATTCTCGACAAAAAATGCTCAGTCTTCGAGTTTCCTTTGGTACTTGTCACGACAAGGAGAATTCTGAAGACATGATTTAAGTAGAGAAGAATGATATGTTTTGGGTGTGGGTGGGTGGGTGTGAGTTTTGATGAAGAGTACACTAACACGCATCCATACCCACATCCTTGTTACGCGATATGTTGATAATATTCAGAGACATCTAGTAAATACAAAATCAAGACCGCTATATTACAAAGTTTATTATATTAAAGAATTCCTCTTAAAAAGTGCTTTATAAATCATTCGAATTAGAGAAGTATAATATTGAAATTACATTTTTCCAAACTTGCTTTATTACGAAATACAATAATTTGCTTTTCATCGTTTACAATGACCTGAATTTATTGTAAAGAAATTATTCTTTTGTTTAAATTTTATATTTATTTGAAAGAAATATCATAGACAAAAATAAAAAGTAGTTTTTTCCTAGGACAGTATCCAAATTGAACAACTGTTGTATATGGATAACAATTTAAACCAACGGAAAATAACAGACAATTATGTCGCTGGCATCTTATAATGTCGCAAAAAAAATAAATTTTGAAGGATGTAAAAAAGATCTCTTTCGAAATTCACATTAAAAAATTTTTACAATGATTCTTAAAAATTTTTGTTTTTATTTTGTTTCTTAAAGAAATCTTTTTGTTGTTAAACTTTTATATGAAAAATAGAAACTTCATTATTTGAAGAAAAACAAAACCATCAAAATTCTATTTTGTGAAACACGATCTAAAAGGAGTGTTGAAGTGTTTAGGGGCAGAAATTTGCACTCCCTCCCCCCCACAGACCGTGACAGAGAAATTCCATACCCATCACAGACCGTGACAGAGAAACCCCAATACCCATCATAGACCGTGACAGACAGGTCCGGAACGCATCACAGACCGTGATAGAGGAACTGTGGTTCTAAAGCATTAGATAAACGGTTAGCTATAAATGTATCGAAAGAAATGGAACAAAATGATTTCCATTTAACTAGTAACAATAGATTCATCGTGTTTCACATTTTTAATCCCTCAAGGAATTGCGCTAACAGCTTTTGATCTTAAATATGATATTATTAATATTATCGTAAATCCAAAATTTTATTCCTTTTCTGAAAACCATATAATTCATATTAATCACATTATTGATGAATCGCACTTAACAATTAAGTTGCTTCAGTTATCAATGCAAATAAACACATAATATGAAAAAAATTTTCAAATTAAATACATAGTTTCAAAGAGAAAAACTTTTAGAATTTATAAAAGCCATTTAGATTT